CTCCTATTGTTTTAAACCGAATTTTACTTTTATTTGCTTTGCTTGATCGTGACAAATAAAACTTCTTTTGAACGCTTAGCTGAACTTGTATCCCATAGGATTAGAGAGTATTGCTGGTCCCTTAACGAACCTCACTATTCTGCATTCGAATTAGTGAATCCTAGGTTTTAAATCTTATAAGACCCGAAAAAGGACTTTCACCAAGCTTCACCTCGTACTTCATAACCTTAGAATATACTAAGGCAAAGTTGTGTATACCTTGCTTGTCATGATCTCGATATATAAGATGTGTACTATCTCGCGTCCTATTATATCAAAACGATCATAAACAAAATCAAATCTTTAGTTAAGACTTCGATAATTCAATAACTAAAACGCTTATGTTGGCCCAAAAGACCTAAAACATTCAAACGATCAAACATGATGCGGTTCTTTGACTCAACAACGAGCCTAGTTAAGCAGTTCATTAGATTTAACTTCGAGCTGATACTTATATCTTCAATCGTTTTTCATTGAAAAATCATCGTACCAAAACACTCGAACAAATTTTAGCGAATGCATGCTTTACCACAAGAAAGCTAAGGGAAAAGGGGGAGGCATCAATGTCATTCTTATCGACATCCAGCACCGTGGCCTCTTCTCGGGCTTCATCTCAAGATGAGCACGCATGGTGACAGCTTGAACCCTTGCAAGCTTTTTAAAGCTCCAGATTGATTGTTCATGGTGGTTGACAAAATTGAAGAAGATGATATTTTGGTAAATAAGTCGATGTCTTTTGGTTTTTGTGTCTTTTTCATTATTTCTGAATTTAGAAAAAAATATATATATAATGGCATTTTTGTGAATAAATGTTGATGCTAGGGATATAATTGTAAGAAAGTGGCAAAATACGAAGGGGGAGAAAAAAATGGTTACATTTGTGTTTTACTCCAAATATTGAGTCATTTTTGCAAGTTTTCCTATAAAATTAGGGAGTTCCCTCTCCGTCTTGAATATTCATATAGACAACATTACTTCATAAAACATTTAAGTCTTTTAAAATATTCAACTAATACACACTAATTCATATTTATTGTTTTTTATTAGTAATAGAAAAATAGATTAAAACGTGAAAACTTAGTGAATGAAAATGAAAATGAAAATAAATAAATACAAGACTATACAAGATTTTATTAGTAATAATAATTTGGGTTTAGTTTTTACCAAAAATAGATATTACACATATTAAATAAATTAGAATGTGTTTTTTTTTAATCGTCTGGATATTATTAAATCAAAGAACATAGAAAAACAAAAAAACGACAACATCAATTCCCAAAATGAAGGGACCACAAGATGTTAAAATGACGTATCTCTGATAATACGATCATGAAGCAAAGACGATCCTCCAAGTGCAAGGTATGATTGAAAACCTCCTATCACGAGTAACACTGCTGGCTATTTCACGTGCAACTAAGTTTGCCGGTGTCACTTCAAATGAACACGACACAAATCGAGATTGAAGAGTCTGATGTGCAGCAGTATAGCCCGATATCTTGGCCATTATATGGGTTTAGTGAGAGCTCTCAAGGTTGCTACAGAATCCAAAGCTATCGTTACATCCACTATATGAAGATCAAGTAAACTTTGTATCGCCCAAAAAAATCCACGGAGTTTAGCCACAATCCGATTAGGAGAGCATGTAAAGGCCTCACGCGCATGAAGGACAACATCTCCAGTATGATCCCTTGCGATCCAAGCTCCTCCATTGTGTGATGAGGCGTTTTTCCATGTAGAATTAACATTGCATTCAGTAACACCTAAAGTAGGGGGGAACCACCGTGGATTACACGCTTGAGGCCTCGAAACCTTTTTAACCTCCTCCTCTGTATTTGCATTAACTTCCCGCCATAGTTTTGCGTCATCAAGGGCCCGTTGAAACAAACAATGCAAATATTCTTGCTTTTGACCCCGTTGAAATTAGAATGTGTTTAGGAATTTTATTGTTGAAACAAAAATTAACTGTTACACAACCATATTTCTAAAATATGAAAGTTTTTTTTTATTAAAAAATATTTGGCTCAATAAAAATAAAATGTTATATTAAATCTAATTTCAAAACTCACGGAATGTTTTACTAAAATACATTATAATAACAAATTCACTCAAACCAACACATTTTTTTTGGAGAAATTTCAAAAAATACCACTTTTCAATTGACACTTTACAAAAATGCTGCACTTTTGAAATTCACAAAAATATCARTTTTTCAAAATTATTTTTTCTTTATATAATTTATATTTGTGTTAACTATGTTCTATTAGAGTTTAGTTATGAGGGTTTAGGGGGGTTTAGGGGTCAAAACATTT